ACCGACATCGACGATCTCGAAAAGCAAATCATGAAGGACGGGCGTTTGAGCTGACGATGTTATGAGCCCTTTGTTGTGGACCAAGTTGTTTTTGGAAGCCCAAGGTGTTGATGTTCAGGAGAACATTCTTTACCAAGACAACAAGAGCGCTATCATTCTCGCTGAGAATGGGACATCTAAGAAGCGCATAATGGGGTCTCGCGAAAACAGCGAGGTCTGAAGGTACCGAACGACATGCGTCCCTAGGCGATTGCTGACGTCATTGCTCCCGGATTTGGATGGTGTTTGTTGTGGAACATGTACTGGGTTCTCCATTGGGTGTGGCAGTATGCACCGTTTTGGAACCCTGCATGCATCCTAAATTCCCAACCCCATAGGTACCGACCAATTTTGTGGTCCCGTTTTGTCCCCTATGCTATACCAATGAACATGGAAACTACATACAGAATCCCGTACAGAGCGGTTTGGGGGTTAGCTTTGGGTAACCACACTCACATTTTGTAAGTTCGTGTAGACTTTGCCTAAGGTATACAGTTCCTTTATACGGCCTAGCGATCGGCAATTACTACTGGCTAGCTACTACTACTAGTTGTATCATGGGTTATTGGTATTGCGACTACTGTAAAGCTTGGGTTTGAAAGCAAGAGGGCACTAAGTGCTCACAACAACCAATCTCGGAGTTGCATTGCAAGCAAGGCAATTTTCACTTGGCATTGGCAAAGCAACAAGAAGTACTAGTACTAGGAGAAAAAGGGACATGACTGCCTACTGCAGGGCTTGGTGCCACTGACACTGGAAGACCCGCTAAAGCACCACGGAAAGTTAGAAGATCTGCAGGAGAGGAGAGAGGCAAATCAAGTCAAATGCCAGCCAATCCACAAGACATGGTGGAGGAAGATCAAATTGCTTGGGCCATGCAAGTTGGTGGTGGTATTGGTTCCAAAAGCGAGGAAGACAATAGAAAAACAGCAGCTGACCCGCGGTTTGGTACCCGAGATGACGGCTATGAGGAAGCAAAAGAGGGGGCAGATGAGGAAGCCATATAGGCAACTGATGAGGAAGGAAGTGACGACGATTCGCAAAAAGACACAGATGATGATGAAAGTAATGAGATAATGATGAGACCAGCAGTGGTGGTTCAACAGCTACCCTGGTACAAATTCCCAAGGAATGGAACCATGACAATGAACCTCTAGACGATAGGAACATCAAGCAATTCCGGCAATATTGTGGAGATTCAAAGAAGACGTTCCTTCCCTTGGATAAGAAACAGACTCGGGGTGTCAAATTGACGGATATCCTTCGAAAGAAAAAGGCGCCTTTGACTGCATATGATGATGTTTTGACATGGCACTTGGATTAAACTGGAGCCCGATTGGTTGACGAGAAGCTTGGTGAGTTTCCGGAGTACTTGAGCCGAAAAAGTTGATGAGCTTCCCCATGACAAGATACAACATGGGTGGCAAATTTCCTTTCACAAAAGACCTTATGCTTCCACATTCAGGTGCTAACATCAAGGTGTTGTGCCACGATGCTCGCCTTTGTGTGTGGCAATTGCTTGCCTATCCACGCCTCAAGGACGACGTTTTCTGCTTTTTCGATAACGATCCCATTGATAAAAATAAAAAATTAAAAAATATAACTAGCTCCACCACCTAAAACGAGTACAAAAATCAGTCAGTTGAACACTGGTGATGTGTACCGCAATTGTTACAAGGCATACGTTACCAATTCCCGAAAGCAAATGGGAATCGGCAACCAATGGTATATTGATGGAGCAGTGACTGGCCAGTCTAACAACCCTTTCGAACTGCGCTAGAAGATGTCTCCATGTCTCTCAGTTCTTTCTCACTATTACAATACCAAAACCATGAACAAACTCAATACAAACTTTCTTTCGCCACAGTGTTGGGTGAGGCAACACTGTAACTACTAGCTATTATCAAGTTAATCTGTTGATTTGGGCGAGCTGTGGCGAAAGAATGATCTTTCTGGCTGGTTGCTCTGAAATCTGGATTCTGAGAATGCCAGTTTCCTTAAAATCCTACGATGGTGCGGTCTTTTTGTTATCCGGGTCTGCTAAATTTCTAGACCGGCCAACACGACTCGATCCTAGGGTTTGGGTTCCCTCAAGACTGAGTCTTTCGCGAATAGTCATTGAGACAGGGTTCTCATGACCGCTAGTCATACTAGGTTTACGATGAAACATCGCTCTAGAAATTTAGCGGGTGTAGAGAGCTTCCACGCTACTAGATAGTTACTAGCTGATGCACTGAAGTTAGTTTCCACGCGTTCCGGAATTGGGATCATGGAGTACGTAGATTCCCTGCTACAATCTACGATATCACACTTCCAGGCCTCTCGCGGGAGACCTGCTCAATGAGCTCCAAGACAAAGCTCTCCCTTTGATTAGTTTCCATAGCATTCTAATCTCTCTTTTAACTTTCATTCTCTCAAACTCAAAACACTCGAAAGATCTTTACACTAGCTTTTAGCGTAGTGCACTAACAGGTGTCCCCAACATCAGCGAATATCCTTTGCTTACACCTCCTTAACACTATAACAGACACTACTTGTATATACAATAGTCGGCTACTGGTGTTGTACATTGATTCCGACACGCCTATTTGAAGCAGATCCGAGTCTTTGTTGTTGTTGTTCTCTGGAGATAATACGTGGTGAAAGCTGGAGTATTTTAAACAGACTGGAGCTGGCTTACTGCCCTTAATTGGTACATGTACACTGAAAAGCCAAATCGCTCGAGCTCTGGTCCGCGATACAACACAGAATCTCACTCGCGATACCAGCACAGAACCGGTAGCCCTCATACCTCCCCCCCTCTCCTTTGGTTTCGATGTTGCCCTGCTTGGGCACTTGATTGCCTGCCTTGGGTTCCTGCATCCTGCCCACCCTTCTCTGCACCCCATCCTCATCATAGTTCCCTTTAACTTTCCTGGTCTTTATTGCACAACAACAAAAAATCCAAACACCATGCACACGACGACCAGTGATAGGGAGCATATAATAATGCGAACTGTGTGTACATACGCTACCGTATACCCATGATTTATGCACATATTACGGGTCATACGCATAGTTTATGCCCATTTTTAAGGTTAGCTTTTCCATATATGGAAGCAATGTATGGGCCCCATAATACGCGTCTAATGTACCATAACCATTAACGAGACACATTCTTATGCTTTAGAAGAAGGGGGGTTTTAGAGTAGGGAAATTATCTACGGAAGCCAGCCGGGGCCAGGCTTAAGCAAAGAACAGTCAAAACTCAGGACTAGGTTCTGTGGGATCAGGGGCAAGAAATTGAGGACCATTACGGGAGGCAAAGGGTTTGGCTTTGCGGGATCCACGGAGAAGGTTGGTAGCAATAATAATATTATGTTGGCATATATTGGCATATATGCCATAGATATGTGATATTTCCAGGATCTTGCATCCATATATGGGTATGGGAGTATGCCCATATATGCGTCCACGCATTTATAATTCCCTATCACTGACGACGACCATGACAATAAGAGGATAGGCACATGTAGATTGATTGTTATTAGAGGAAAGGTGCTCAGCACCACCCGCTGTTAGTGTAACAGTCGACGGAGCAGCGACAGTACTGGTCCACCTTGAATTCAGCTGTTGAAAGAGACCGTTGGTGTTGCCATGGACGCCTATACATCTCCTTTGAGCACAAATGGTGCGTCTGGCTTCTACTCGAACGCTTCGATCTTCTCCACACTGTCGTCACCTTGACCACCAAGACGCTGGCTAGCATTGTCTTGAGTGCATTGATCTTCTAGCTACAAGTTCTCCTGTGTAGACAAGCTTCGTATCGACCGGTAGCTAGTTGGTCCGTAGCTGCCAATGCGTCATCTTGAAGAGTCTGCACTCGGTGCGTTCGCTAAGTGCTCCAGTCGCCTGTCGAGTTTGAGCTTTCAAGCTTCTTGAAGACCTTCAGTTCGCTCTTCATCTCGGCCAGTGTGCCACCATGCAGTATATGAACATCTGTACTGCATGCTTAGTAAAGCCTCATTTCGGTCAGTCTTGGAGACAACGGCTGCTTCCTTGGCGCCTCCTTCGACATGATGCGAACATTTCTTCCTTCCAACTGAAGCAATAAGTACAAGCAAAAGATGTAGCTGGTGCAGGATGATGATATTCGGTTGCACAAAGGATTGAATTTTAAGTTCGTATAAGATGTTGAGTTGTGGGCTCCGTGAAACAGGAAGAAGAGTTGATCGGTGCCAATGTTGGTTGGTTGTACTGGTGGTTGCATTAGGTCTAGTGGTAGAGGCGTCATGGTAAAGAGAAGTGTCATGGTACTAAGCCGACGCTAGAACAAGAGGAGCCTGTCATGGTGGAGTATTTGCAGCCGCTGAGCCGGTAGAGACATCATCTATATAGACAAGTGCTCATTAGGCTGTCGTTTGGAAGAGATTGGCATGTCCCGAGGCAACCGAGAGAAATTCGTGTCAAGGGTCAAGGACCGTACAATATGTCACGGAACGACTACTGTACTGTACCGGAACTCTTAGTTAGGTACTTGCCAGAAAGCAGGCATCATGTTGTGTGTCACGGAACGACTACTTGGCTGCCAAAAGCAGGTCATGTCTAAAACAGACACCTTCCTTTCCCATTCCCTTCCTGTACAGCCAACAGAACATGTAGAGCTTGCTCACCTGACTGTCACTCACGGCCACTGGAGACCGCACTCGACTTCCACTCGACTATTTAAAACCTCGATCAAAACGCCCCAAAGCTACCAAACAAATAATGACTGCATGTACTTTGAGGACCACCTTTGGATTCAGGTAGATGTGGATATACTTGCATAGTGAATAATTATGATAACCCAATTATTGCTCAACCTACCCGGCCACAACTGGCTTCCAGAAGTTTAGTGCAAGAATGCAGGATCTTCGATTCGATTCTGATTCGATTCATTCGAGTGGAGTCGCAAGATTCATCGTGCTCAGCAACAAGCAGCACAACCCCGCGGACTGCGAAGCGACCAAAATAAGGGTGCCAACATGCAGTTATAGTTGAGGTAGACGATTCTCCGAGCAGTAGCTTGCGAGGGCTGCAGGCAGCATTATACAGTACAATGTACATTCGTGTAGCGCAAAGGTGGGAAACTGTCCCCATTGCACAGGGCTACCGGTAGAAACTACGGTGCTCTGATGAGTAGTAGCTCAAGCGTCCTGGTCCTGAGTCCTGAGCAGGATGGTCCAACCGCAGCTGCACTTCTTCGTCAATTGAGTTGCATTGCATTGCACGGAGCTACAGAACATACCGGTAGCTAGATCAAGAATCCCGGAGGGACAACATGGACCGGTAATGAGATAATCCAAAAGATTACTCTTTACTGAGCAGGATGGTTATCTATCCTCCGAGGATCCAACCACAGCACTCCTGTCAATTGAGGTTGCGTTTCTGCACATCTTTCTCACAATTTTCGAAACGAAGATTACTAAACAACGGCAAAAATACAAAGAAGAGAAAGAAAGAATGAAGATCATTTTGGCGGCTGCGGGCTTCCTCGTCGCTAGTGTGGCTGGAGACGGTATAAGAGGAGGTGTGTCAGATGAAATTTCGGTGTGGGGCGATCATGGCGGCAAAAAAGGTGTTGGCGTGATTGACCATGGAACCCATGGTGCGGAGGAAGAAGATGGAGGAGAGGATGACGTGGTGTTTGCAGTCCCTTGGGATGATGACATTGACTTTGACGAGGAGAAGTATCTCTCAGCGGGCGACAATGCCTTGCCCTGGGTTGTGGATGGTGTCGGATTCTCCAGCGTTGATGAGTATCTCGAGTATGCCCATGGGCGTCGTGTTACCGATCATCCCTACTTTCGCAGAATGTTGGATGAAAACGGTGATCCCGTGGCACCGAGCAACAAAGACTTTACAGAACTTTTGGTGGCGGAGCTTGAGTATCAGAGGGCGGTGAACGGGACGGTCGATTCCTTGGAAGCCATGGCCAGTGTTGCCCAACAAATCGTCTTCAAGGCAATCGAGGCTGACGAAACGGGCGACAATCGTACTGAGTGGATCATGGAACACTTGACTATCGTAAGTACCGTTTTGTGGCTGCTGCAGAGTTGCATTGTGTGGTTGTTGTTGCGTCACTCACCTTTGTACTGCTTGTTCCACAACAAATATCTACAATGGCAGTCCGAGCAGGGAACCCCTGAGGCTCTGGAGATGGCAAAGATCATTGCCGAGAACGCGAACCACACAGCTTGTGAAATCCCCGGAGAGTGCGTCACCCAAGCGCGGCTCAAAATTGTCAAGAACTGGATTGAAGACTACCTAAACAACTGCATCCAAACTGGAACAGAGCTTGATCTCGATTACATGTACCAGCGTCTCTTTGCCGAAACGGATGTGGATCCGCAGAGTGCCGATGAATTGATCCAGTCCTCTCCTGCTATCCGTGATCAAATCGACTACATGATACAGGAAGCAGACATTGCCGCGAGAGAAAATGAATTGGCTCCTCGGGCGGAGTTGGTCGAGAAGGCCCTCATTGATGCTGGGAACAACATGACCGACTTTGAAGACGCTTTGGAAGAGATTGGCTTTTCGGAAGAAGAAGTCTCTGTCTTGTTGCGATCTCTAGCACCAGAACGCCTTGCAAAAGTTGAGGAGGCTATTCGCAAGCCCAAGGAAGACTATGAAGCTCAAGTTTTGAACTTGCATTTTTAACAGCAGCGAACGAGCAACAACGTACTTTGAAATCGAAGCCACCGAGGCGAATTAGGCTCAGTTCGTTCCCCACCCGCTGGCTCGACTTCCTCAAAGTACGTATGGTTGTCTCCGTTCGCCTGCTGTTCAAAAGCATTCAAAACTTGAGCTTCATAGTCTTCCTTGGGCTTGCGAATAGCCTCCTCAACTTTTGCAAGGCGTTCTGGTGCTAGAGATCGCAACAAGACAGAGACTTCTTCTTCCGAAAAGCCAATCTCTTCCAAAGCGTCTTCAAAGTCGGTCATGTTGTTCCCAGCATCAATGAGGGCCTTCTCGACCAACTCCGCCCGAGGAGCCAATTCATTTTCTCTCGCGGCAATGTCTGCTTCCTGTATCATGTAGTCGATTTGATCACGGATAGCAGGAGAGGACTGGATCAATTCATCGGCACTCTGCGGATCCACATCCGTTTCGGCAAAGAGACGCTGGTACATGTAATCGAGATCAAGCTCTGTTCCAGTTTGATGCAGTTGTTTAGGTAGTCTTCAATCCAGTTCTTGACAATTTTGAGCCGCGCTTGGGTGACGCACTCTCCGGGGATTTCACAAGCTGTGTGGTTCGCGTTCTCGGCAATGATCTTTGCCATCTCCAGAGCCTCAGGGGTTCCCTGCTCGGACTGCCATTGTAGATATTTGTTGTGGAACAAGCAGTACAAAGGTGAGTGACGCAACAACAACCACACAATGCAACTCTGCAGCAGCAACGAAACGGTACTGTACGATAGTCAAGTGTTCCATGATCCACTCAGTTACGATTGTCGCCCGTTTCGTCGGCCTCGATGCCTTGAAGACGATTTGTTGGGCAACACTGGCCATGGCTTCCAAGGGATCGACCGTCCCGTTCACCGCCTCTGATACTCAAGCTACCGCCACCAAAAGTTCCGTAAAGTCTTTGTTGCTCGGTGCCCGGGATCACCGTTTTCATCCACATTCTGCGAAAGTAGGGATGATCGGTACACGACGCCCATGGGCATACTCGAGATACTCATCAACGCTGGAAATCCGACACATCCACACCCAGTCAAGGCATGTCGCCCCGAGAGATACTTCTCCTCGTCAAGTCAATGTCATCATCCCAAGGGACTGCAAACACCACGTCATCCTCTCCTCCATCTTCTTCCTACCGCACCATGGTCCATGTCAATCACTGCCAACACCTTTTTTGCCGCCATGATCGCCCCACACCGAAATTTCATCTGACACACCTCCTCTTATACCGTCTCCAGCCACACTAGCGACGAGGAAGCCCGCAGCCGCCAAAATGATCTTCATCTTCTTTCTCTTCTTTGTATTTTTGCCGTTGTTTAGTAATCTTCGTTTCGAAAATTGTGAGAAAATGTGCAGAAACGCAACCTCAATTGACAGGATGCTTGTGATCCTCGAGTAGATAACATCCTGCTCAGTAAAGAGTAATCTTTTGGATTATCTCATTACCGGTCCATGTTGTCCCTCCGTATCTTGATCTAGCTACCGTATTTCTACTCCGTGCAATGCAATGCAACTCAATTGACGAAGAAGTGCAGCTGCGGTTGGACCATCCTGCTCAGGACTCAGGACCAGGACGCTTGAGCTACTACTCATCAGAGCACCGTAGTTTCTACCGGTAGCCCTGTGCAATGGGGACAGTTTCCCACCTTTGCGCTACACGAATGTACATTGTACTGTATAATGCTGCCTGCAGCCCTCGCAAGCTACTGCTCGGAGAATCGTCTACCTCAACGTATAACTGCATGTTGGCACCCTTATTTTGGTCGCTTCGCAGTCCGCGGGGTTGTGCTGCTTGTTGCTGAGCACGATGAATCTTGCGACTCCACTCGAATGATCGAATCAATCGAATCGAAGATCCTGCATTCTTGCACTAAACTTCTGGAAGCCAGTTGTGGCCGGGTAGGTTGAGCAATAATTGGGTTATCATAATTATTCACTATGCAAGTATATCCACATCTACCTGAATCCAAAGGTGGTCCTCAAAGTACATGCAGTCATTATTTGTTTGGTAGCTTTGGCGTTTTGATCGAGTTTTAAATAGCAGTGGAAGTCGAGTGCGGTCTCCAGTGGCCGTGAGTGACAGTCAGGTGAGCAAGCTCTAACTTCTGTTGGCTGTACAGGAAGGGAATGGGAAAGGAAGGGTTCTGTTTATAACATGACCTGCTTTTGCAGCCAAGTAGTCGTTCCGTGACACACAACATGATGCCTGCTTTCTGGCAAGTACCTAACTAAGAGTTCCGGTACAGTACAGTAGTCGTTCCGTGACATATTGTACGGTCCTTGACCCTTGACACGAATTTCTCTCGGTTGCCTCGGGACATGCCAATCTCTTCCAAACGACAGCCTAATGAGCACTTGTCTATATAGATGATGTCTCTACCGGCTCAGCGGCTGCAAATACTCCACCATGACAGGCCCCTCTTGTATCTGAGCGTCCGGCCTTTACCAATGACACTTTCTTACCTACATACGCCGTATCTACACTAGAACCTAATTGCAACCTTACAACCAACCAACATGCACGGATCAACCTCTCTTCCTGTTTCAGAGCCCACAACCTCAACATCTACTACGAACTTAAAATTCAATCCTTCTGTGCAATCCGAATATCATCATCCTGCACACAGCTACATCTTTTGCTTTACTTATTGCTTCGTGCGAAGGAAGAAATGTTGCATCATGTCGAAGAGGCGCCAACGGAAGCAGCCGTTGTCTCCAAGACTGACCGAATATGAGGCTTTAACTAAGCATGCATACAGACTGTTCATATACTACATAGGTGGCACACTGGCCGAGATGAAGAGTCGAACTGAAGTCTTCAAGTAACAGCTTGAAAGCTCCAAACTCGACAGGCGACTCGGAGCACTCTAGCGAACCACCGAGTGCAGACTCTTCAAGATGACGCATTGGCAGCTACGGACCAACTAGCTACCGTCGATGAGAAAGCACGCACAACCTCGCGACATGTCTACACAGGAAACTTGTAGCTAGAAGATCAATGTCACTCAAGACAATGCTAGTCCAGCTCTTGGTGGTCAAGTCGGACGACAGTGTGGAGAGATCGAAGCGTTCGATAAAGCCAGACCACCATTTGTGCTCAAAGAGAGTAAGGCGTCTCCATGGCAACACCAACGTCTTCTTTCAACAGCGAATTCAAGTGGACCAGTACTGATCGCTGCTCCGCGACTTTACACTAACAGCGGTGGTGCTGAGCCACCTTTTCCTCTAATAACATATCAATCTACATGTGCCTATCCTCTTATTTCATGGTTCGTCGTCAGTGATAGGGAATTATAAATGCGCTGACGCATTATAGGGCATACTCCATACCCATATATGGATGCAAGATCCTGGAAAATATCACATATCTATGGGCATTATAGCAAATTTCATAATATAATATATTCATTGCCTACCAACTCTGCTCCTTGGATCCCGCAAAGCCAAGCCTTTTGGCCTCCGTAATGTCCTCAATTTTCTTGCCCTATCCCACAGAACTCTATCCTAGTATTTGACTTTTCTTTGCTTTTAAGCCTGGCTCCGGCTGGCTTCCGTGTAATTTCCCTACTCTTAAACCCCCCTTCTTCTATAATTAAGAAGTGTTCTCGTTAATGGTTATGGTACATTAGACGCGTATTATGGGGCCCATACATTGCTTCCATATATGGAAAAGCTAACCTTAAAAATGGGCATAAACTATGCGTATGACCCGTAATATGTGCATAAATCATGGGTATACGGTAGCGTATGTACACACAGTTCCATTAATTATATGCTCCTATCACTGGTCGTTGCATGGTTTGGATTTTTGTTGTTTCCTAATAAAGACCAAGACAAGTTAAAGGAACTTGATGAGCATATGGCATTGCCAGAGTTAATAGTGGGCAGATGCAGAACCAAGCAGCAATCAACTGCCCAAAGCGGGCAAACAGTCGAAAACCAAAGGAGAGGGCAGAGGTATAGCTACCGGTCTTGCTGTATCCGAGTGAATTCTGTGATCGTACGCGAGCCAGACCTCGAGCGACTTGCCTCAGTGTATCATGCCAATTAAGCGCTAAGCCAGCTCCAGTCTGTTTAAAATACTCCAGCTTTCACCACGTATTATCTCCACGAGATACAACAACAACAAAGCACTCGATCTGCTTCAAATACCTTTTCCTGAATCAACTGACAACATCCAGTAAGTCACGACTCATTACTTTACAAGTAGTGTCTTTAAGTGTTAAGGAGTAAGCAAAAAAATATTCCTGAAGTGGGAGACTGTAGTGCACTACGCTAAAAGCTATTTTAAAGATCTTTCGAGTATATTGAGTTAAAATGATAAGTTAAAAGAGAGATTAGAATGCTATGGAAACTAATCAAAGGGAGAGCTTTGTCTTGGAGCTCATTGAGCAGGTCTCCCGCAAGACGCCTGGGAAGTTTCATATTCATAATATTATGCAGGTAATCTACGACTCCATTCTAGATCCCAACTTCCGGGAACCGCTGGAAACTTAACTTTCGAGTGCATCACTAGTAACTACTCAGTTATGTGAAGCTCTCTACACCGCTAAATTTCTAGACGACTTTTCATCGTAAACTACGTATGAACAGCGTCATGTGAGAACCCTTCTCAATGACTATCGCGAAAGACTCATCTTGAGGAGAACCCAAACCCTGGATCGATCGTGCCGTCAGAACTTAGCAGACCCGGATAACAAAAAGACCGCACCATCGATACGATTAAAGGAAACGCGCATTTCTTCAGGAATCCAGATTTCAGAGCAAACAGCCAGAAAGATCATTCGTTCGCCACAGCTCGCCCAAATCAACAGATTAACTGTATAATAGCTAGTAGTTACAGTGTTGCCTCACCCAACACCATTGTGGCGCAAAGAAAGTTGTATTGAGTTGTTCATGTTTTGTATTGTAATAAGTTGAAAAAACCTGAGAAAAACACCAGCTCTAAGTATGAGCAAGTCGCATGCAGCCTCA